ATAGAAAATAGAAAAATGTGAGATTGTGATTTATAATAAATATATAGTTGGTCTTTGTCCTGGCACAGAGCTCCTAAAACCCTCTGAATTTCCTGTCATGAGACTGTTGTGTTACTTAGGTGACTTATGGAAAGCACCTAAGGATAAGGGCGGTTGCTAGTGGAGCCAACCTTATTACTAGATGATTGAAACTTCAGTCTCACCACCCCTCACACACCTCTTGGAAGGTGAGAGGGGCTGGAGATTGAGAGTAGTCACTAATGGCCAATGATTTGGTCAGTCATGCCTAATCATGAACCCCCTGTAATAACCCAAAAGGACAGGGTTCAGAGAGTGACTGGGTTGGTGAACACGTGTAGGTGCTGGGAGAGTGGCACGCCCAGAGAGAGCATGGAAATTCCTAGCCCCCTCCCATCCTTTGCCCTGTGCACCTCTTTTTTTTTTTTTTTGGTGGAGTGTCACCGGCCCTCACATGTGGGATCCAAAACGGGGCCCTCTGGCGTCCCAAGCCAGCTCCCAACCATCGCGCCACTGGGCCGGCCCCTTGTGCACCTCTTTAATCTGGCTGTTCTGAGTTATATCCTTCTATAATAAACCAGTGATCTAGTAAGCAAAATGTTTCCCTGAGTTCTGTGATCTGTTCTAGTAAATGAATTGAACCCGAAGAGGGGGTTGTAGGAACCTCTAATCTATAGCCACTCAGAAAGCAGCACAGGTGACAGCCTGGACTTCTGATTGACATCTGAAGCTGGGGGAGGAGGGCAGTCTTGTAGGACTGAGCCCTTACCCTATAGGATCGGATGCTATCTCCAGGTATATAGTGTCAGAATTGAGTTGAATTATAGGACACCTAGCTGGTGTTAGAGAATTGCTTGGTGGTATGGAATAAATACACACATTAGTACTGCTGTCAGAATCCTAAGAATCAATAGAGAAAATCAACAAAACCAAAAGCTGGTTCTTTGAACAGAGCAACAAAGTTGACAAACTTTTAGATAAATTGACTAAGAAAAAAAGAGAGAAGGGGTGACCGGTTAGCTCAGTTGGTTAGAGCATGGTGCTGATAACACCAAAGTTGCCGGTTCGATCCCCTCATGGGCCACTGTGAGTTGCGCCTACCCTAAAAGAGTCAACTATGCCATTGTAGCATGAAAGCTATGACCATAGCTGTTCCCCAATAAAATTTAAAAACAAAACAAAACAAAAAAATTGTTTGAAAAAAGAGAAGACAAATCATCAAAATTAGAAATGAAAATGGGGACATTTCTACAAATTTTACAGAAATAAAAAGGATTATAAGGGAATGTTATGAACAATTGTATACCAACACATTGGATAACCTAGCTGAAATGGACAAATTTTTAGAAACACAGAAACTAGCAAAACTGACTCAAGAAGAAATACAAAATCTGAACTGATAACTCGGAATGGGATCAAATAAGTATTCAACCCCCACCCCCACCCCCCAAAAAAAACTTCACTGGTGACTCTACCAGACATTTTAAAAAGAACTAACACCAAAAAGACACTATCCACATACGAATAGTAAAAAGACATCCCATAGAATGGGAGAAAGTACTTGCAAATCATGTATCTGATAAGGGATAATACCCAGAATATATAGAGAACTTCTAAAACTAAACAACAACAACAAAAAACCAACCCAATAAAAAAATGGGCAAAGTATGTGAATTGACATTTCTCCGAAGAATATATCTGCATGGCCAACAAGCACATAAAAAGATGCTCAATATCACTAATCATTAGGGAAACGCCAATCAAGCCTACCATGTGATACCACCTATACCCATTGAGATGGCTACTATTAAAAAAAAAACAAAAAAACAGAAAACAAGTGTCAGAAAGGATTTGGACAAATTGGAGCCCTTGTGCACTGTTGGTGGGAGTGTAAAATAGTATAGCTGCTATGGAAAACAGAAAGGCAGTTTCTCAAAAAATTTATAAAAGAATTACCATATCTAGCTGTTCCACTTTTGGGTATAATCCAAAAGAATTGGAAGCAAGGTCTGAGATGTTTGTACACCTATGTTCATAGCAGTATTGTTCACAATAGCCAAGACGTGGGAGCAGCCGTGTCCATTGACAGATAAATGGTATGTACATACAATGCAATATAAAAAGGAAGGAAATTCTGTCATATGCTGTGGCATGGATGGACCTTGAAGACATTTGCTAAGTGAAATAGCCAGTCACAAAAAGACGATCTGGCCCTGGTTTTCTGTACCTAGTACAAATCACACACCCAACACATGTTTATTGATTGAAAACACACACACCCTGCCGCTTCACATCCACGAGGCTGGATATAATTTTTTTTGAAAAAGGAAACCCTAGGGTTGGCCACAATGTTGAAATATAGGATTTTTGTACTTTGCTGGTAGAAAACATTTTGTTGGTCCCTCAAAATACTAAACATAGAATTACCATGTGACCCAGCCACAGTATATACGTACCTAGGAGTATACACTGCAAAGAATTGAAAACAGGGACTCAGATACATGTTAAAGAATGATCACGGCAGCACTATTCTTGCGTGCACTCTTTTTTTTTTAAGATTTTTATTGGGGAATTGGGGGGATGGGAACAGCGGTGGGGAACTGGGGGAAGGGGAACAGACAAGTTGCTTCATTTTGTTCTTCAGTCTAGTTGTGGAGGACGTTGCTTCACTGGCTCAAGTTGGCACCATCATTGC